CCCAGTTAATAAAGCGCACGTCTGCTCCCTGTGGAAATCAACCACAACCTGACCTACAAGAATGACTCTGTTTCCTCTCCCTACACAATGTTTTATTCATGAGAACTTTCGCTAGATATAGTCTCTGATTTCCTTTTTTCCTCTGAGAGAAACAAGTCTTTCTTGTCGGTACGTAGATGTCCGGACCCAATCACTTCTCAGGTCCCGCTGGACTGATCCCAGACCTGGAGTCTCATGTCCTGCTGTGTGAAGTGAGGTCAAAGAACAGTGATTTCACTAATATAAACTGTATTGCTAGTTGTTCCCAGGTTACATAAAGAATTGTTTTCACTCAGCAGATTAGAGCTCCTTTTAACAACGCAATAACTTGCTTTCGAGCTTTTCTCCCAAGATAAATATTGTTCTGCCTTTTTTGAGCTCGGTCAGTGTATAGCCATGTGAATTGTTTTTTCTTGGGACTTACCTAGAAACCTCAAATCTGAAGACCACATTTATACCTGGTTGTTACATCTTGAGTGATCTCATCAGTCAATCAGCACTAAATAAACCAAAACAAGATACAAAAAATAGATAGATAGATAGATAGATAGATAGATGTTTTTTAAATATGTTTCTTTATATAAATGTGAATAAGCGTGAATGAAGACTTTTCTCTTTCTTTCTAGATCTACATTCCTTGCAGAACTGCTCTGATCCTGGCAAATGAGGACACTGATTTCAGACATTGAGGACTTTGCGGATGAATGGAGCTGATTCTTGCATCATATCCCAGAATTCTGTGCAACCTTACAGTACATCTGCTTATGTTCACTTGCAAACGCTGTTATTGCCTCACAATGTTATCCCATTTTTAGTAGTAACAGAATATCCAAACTGCTCTTCTCCATATAATGAAAGTTTGCTGTCACTGGTCCTCATCTGCTTACGTTTCGTTGGCATTTCTGCTAAATTTCCAGTTTTGTGCTCTCCAGAATAAGTTACTGTAATAATAGTTAGGAATGACATAGGATGGAATGGAATAGGTTTGGAATGACATGAGGATGAGTAAATTATTACTTTTCATTTATTCACTTTAAGGCTATTTTCATTTTATATATATATATATATAATTTGTAATAAGATGGGAAAATTATCATTTACAGAAGGTTATTGTAATTTTAGAGGTTAATGCATTACAAAAGCACAAGAGCTTTTAATTTGCTGTTGTGAACATTCATTCTAGATGCATTCGGATTTGGATATTGCTTGCATTATGACATCAGCAAGGTCATTTCGCTCTCTCTCTCCATGTCTCTATTCATCCTGCTTTCCCTCTTTCACCCCATAACCTTATCCTGTCTTCACTTAGCCTTAAATGCCTCCAATCCATGATTCTGATTTAGTGGGCCATTAAAAAGTTTTACAGCACCGGGTGACATCATAGGCCAGTTGGATGTGCTGGGGAATATGAATCTCATGGGGCTCGCAGAGAATCTAGTGTCCTCTCCAGGGAAGACGAATAATTCCCTTGTAACCGTTCCCTTGGGTGTGAGGTCTCAGCAGCTGTTCTGACACAACAGGAGACAAAAATTTCACCTAATTACTCTAATTAACACTTTTTTCCCTTAATGCATTTAATTAAATTGCTTAGGTTTAATCTATAACAGCACTTTAATTTTGCCAGAGCTCTCAGCCCAAGCTTTTAAACACTAATAAGACAGTATATCAGTATTGAAGACATTCATGTTCTTATAGTGGAGTTTATTGCTGCCGCAAACAGCAGCCAGGGTGGTCAAATATATATGAGGGGGAAAAAACAATTGTGTGCATGTATACACTCATTTTGTATGCTGTAATTCATTTTCAGTTATAATACTTGTCCAGTTTTTCCTTCAAAAATAAAGCTTGTTTAAAATCAAAAGTTTGATTAAAGCCATCTTTCCTTGTAACGCCAAAAATAAATTACAAAAACATTGTGTGGAAGGACACAATTAACTGCCTGTGTGAGTGAGTCATTTGAATCATTCACTGAACCGATTTGTTCAAAAACACTCAATTCATCAGGACATAGCACTTGAAGTTAGAGCTAAAGTAAAAACGTTAAGGCTCTATTGTTTTTATTGAGTTTAATAGTTTAATTAGTCACAGATGTATATATGGTAGCCTAGTTTATATTGTATTTATTTACGTAAGTATATGTATTCATCGTACCTCAAACTTCTGAGTTTCGTCTGCGTGTGTTCCGAATAGTGGTCGACCGATATATCGCCAAGGCCTATATATCGGCCAATATTTGGCATTTTTCAAATATTGGCATCGGCCGATACGTTTTTCTGTTTGGCCGATGCATTCGTGGCGGGAATTTTATTTTGACGCTGCTGTTCTGCAGTTCTCACATTCTCCCTCGTTCGCTGTCGTCGTTAACAGTTCTGTCCACGGATAGAAGTCTGTCTAATAATCAGATAGGACTGTTAAATAAAGGAATTAAAATTAATACACAAAAGTATTATAACGATTTCATTTATATTGTTAGTAATAGAAAAGCAAACATTATAATACTTTCTCATTTGCCATCAGCATTCAGCAAATAGGCATTTATATAATTTAAACAAATCTTTGAATGACTAATGAATATCTAATTTCAAAAACCTTGCAAACTTAGTCGAATCCAGCTGTGAGATCTTATGAAGTGTGCATTAGTATCCTGCACGATCGCGTGAATACGGACAGGAGGAGAGTTCAGCTTGACTGGAGACACGCGATCGACAAACGTTAAACTCGTGATTTCAAATTATGCTGCGCTTCATGCTTTTGCCCAATGTCATATTCATGTCATTTTCACTGTGTGCTGTATGTAAAATGAGTGTTACCTTGGCTTTATTTGAAAAAATGTGATTCCCAATGTACACAATCTTCCCAGAATACTGAGTGCCCTGTTGGTTACAGTGTTTACTTCCTTTTTAATTATATTTTTATTAAATGTTTGTTTATTTGTTAAGAATACTTTGTCATTTAAAGTATAAGCATGTTTATTTTACATATTTATTTTTTAATCCATTTTCAAATTATTTAAAATTTCTTAAATATTAAATAAAATAAATAAAATTATATTGGCTTTATATCGGCCATCGGCCACCCTGCTTTCCAAGATATCGGCATCGGCTGTCAAAAAACCAATATCGGTCGACCACTAGTTCCGAATGAACGCATTTTGTTAAGTGAACTTCAACGAATATGCTGTGCTCAAAGAATAGGCAGCAGTGAACACTATGTAGGGACACTGCAATCAGCACGCATCTTTATCAGAGCGAATTGAACACTGATTCGTTCAGGAAATTCGGCGCGAAAATAGACTGGCAATATGGTGTCTAAAATGTAAGTGGCATAACTTTATTTTTACTGTACTGTTATAAGAACAGCACACTCATACTTTGTTGATATCAAGCCAACTCCATCGGTCAGTTATCTTCAGAGTTTAGACAGGCCTGTTACACCTTTTCTCAATCTCAGAGAGTTGTGTGCCTTAAAATAGCCCCTATAGATGTTTTGGGGTTTGTCATCCCAAATATAGATTTACTGTCTTACATAGAAAGAATTGTCCTAGTGTCACTGTCTCATAGCTCATGATCACTGGCTGACTCACAGTGTGTTTTTAGCAAGTTCTTTGTTCTCTCTCTGACGTGCTGACGACCTCCTCCTAGAAGAGCTCTGCAGGTGCCTCAGACAGATTCATAGCTGTAATTATTCATGAAAATGCTCCTGGAGGTAAAACCACACAATATCTCTAGTGCGGAGTACTGTGCCTAACTGAGTAATGCTATATTCTGTGAGTGAGTGAGTATGCATGCGTGAATTTCACAAATGCAGTGCGTTATGACCAAGACAATAAGCAAGTAAACAGCGCCCCCTGGAGTGAGCTACAAAAACATGTAAACCTACAGTTGGAAAGGAAAATAATAATGATGGCGAGAAAGATTGAGGAGGAAGTTTGTTTGATTGTCACTCTGGAGATTGGATTTTGTTGGATGAAAAATCACGCTTCGTGTCACACTAATTAATGTCAGCTATGTAATTAACCTTCAAATGTGTGTGGTCTAGACCTTAAAGGAATATTTCAGGTTAATTACAAGTTACCTCAAAATAGCATTTCAACTAATCTCACAGTTATAAATGAAAGTATACAGATATATGCATTTACAGTACAAACAGATGTTCAGATGTTAATATTTTAATGAAACTGCTAACAATCCCAATGTCTTCAACTGTGCGATTACAGAAACACTTTAAAACATCTTCAGTTCAACTCGTGCCAAGAAGACAGTTACGATAAATTTAACATGAACTAAGATAAAGAGAGGATAAATTATGTATTCAATGAAAAATATAGGCCAGGCATGCCAGGCAGACTGAGCCTGGTTTCTCCCAAGGTTTTTTTCTCCATTCTGTCCATTTCCAGCGATATCGTTGACTTGATTGCAAATGATTGCAAAGATACTATTTAAACTGAACTTAGCTGGATGATGACATCACTGAATTCAATGATGAACTGCCTTTAACTGAAAAATTGAGTGTTTACTATTGTCCTTTTGCATTATTGACACACTATTTTCCTATTTTGATACTGTAAAGCTGCTTTGACACAATCTGTATTGTTAAAAGTGCTATATAAATAAAGGTGACTTGACTTGACTTGGCATGTCACAATGGACAAATGCAGACAATAAGAAGTTAAACTGCCTCTCACTCATATAAAAGACAAATTTAGCACTAACAAGAGTGAGAGACTTCATTTCCAGCGATATCGTTGACTTGATTGCAAATGATTGCAAAGATACTATTTAAACTGAACTGAGCTGGATGATGACATAACTGAATTCAATGATGAACTGCCTTTAACTGAAAATTGAGTGTTTACTATTGTCCTTTTGCATTATTGACACACTATTTTCCTATTTTGATACTGTAAAGCTGCTTTGACACAATCTGTATTGTTAAAAGTGCTATATAAATAAAGGTGACTTGACTTGGCATGTCACAATGGACAAATGCAGACAATAAGAAGTTAAACTGCCTCTCTCATATAAAAGACAAATTTAGCACTAACAAGAGTGAGAGAGTGTAATCAAAATGGCATTTTAACAATCAGATGGTGAACCGTTGTTATAGATACTGAAAAGCCACACACTATTATATAGAAACAGGCACTGACATATAAAACATAGTGAAATACTGTATAAAGCACAGCACTCATGTACATTAAAACTGTAAGATACTGTAATCACTTTCAAATAGGCAAAATGCAACATCATTTATTTAATATATCATATAAAAATAAAAATGTATAATTGTGTTTTGTAAAACTTAATGTAAAAGTGCTTTTTGAGTGAGTACTTTTTCACAATTTATGTGTTGACTTTGGCATGAAATACAGGCTTATTTTAAAATTCTGAGAGTTCTACACTCGTTAGTTTTACAGTCTTATAAGTATCAAATTTGATTAAAAAAAACAACATGAAAGGTGTGAAAAATGTGCAGATCTTTGTGCAGTCAGTTTCTACATAAATCAAAAGAGCTTTCAAGTTAGCAGGCACAGATTCCATGGGCTGTATTACAGAAATGTCCTGTCTTCTTTTTTACTAAAATTAAAAAAAAAACAAAAAAAAGTTATATTTCTCAATTCTCAGTCAAATTACCATGGTTACTAAACAGATGGGATAAGATTCTGAGTTAGGATGTGTCTGTAATAAAGTTAGTGATTGCTTTATAAACCTTTAATGGCAGATACAGGTACATACTACAGTAGAAAAGCGCAGTGTGTACAATGTGTGTGTTTACAGAAGCTCACAACAGACTCAACCATTTGAGAAGAACCACAGATAAAGAGAGAATGAAAAAGAGTAATGCAGTGTGTTCAGTGAATAGACTGAGTGTTTGGGACATTTTAAAGCCTTCGATTTTAAATCACACTCATTATATCAGACTGTTTCACGGAATCAGTTTTAACTTTTAAAATCAAACTGAGCAAGGTCTGTTTACACAGGCAAATATGATCTCAAATCAGATCCTGTTGTAATTTTTACATATGTGAACATATGAGGTTAGAAGATATCCAGTTACTTCTCATATCCGTTGATGTTCTCAGGAAGCAGACCCTCCATTACAGCTTGTCGAGACTCGAGAATCTGGATCCAGACAAGCCAGCTGAATAAAGAGGTACAGCCGAATGCTAACACAGAGGTAAGTTTGCGTAAACTCACCTGGAAAGTCGGACTAAAGGCAACGAGGGTTTGCATGTTGGTGCTGTAATAGCCAAGAACATAATCCCCTGCCAGCAGGTTGAGCTCATTTTTACTCATCTGGACCTTAAACAAGTAGTGCATTACTCAGGTTAGTGCTTTTATGGCAGCTTTTTAGCATCATGCCGTTTAAAAACACACAACAGTTTCAAATTTCATTTTAGATGTAAAGTAATATACATTTCTATTAATATTCATTATTTTCGCAATATGCACATAAACTTTTAGTCTGCCATACCGTCACGACTTCGCCGTTGGCAGCCACTTCATCATCTTTGACCCAAGCAAAGGTGGAGTAATCGGAGGCCCTTTTGAAGCCAATCTGCACACAGAGATATAAATCACCACTGGTTAGTGACCCGCTTTGTGATACAGATCTCCTTTTTGTCTCTTTCTGTGTTTTTGTTCATCCATCAACCTCTTTTTTTGTCTGTCTCCCTCTCACCTTGTACAATCCGATCCAATCCCAGGTTGAGGACTCAAAGTTTTCCAGAATGGTGTAGGTGAATGTGGCATCTTCATCTGCACTCCAGTGTCCCTCCACTGTTAGTGTGACTAGAGGAGTCTCCACATTTTTTCTCATCTGCATGAAGAGATCAAGACCAATTTGAACTCAAATGTCATGTACACTGAAAGGTAGATACATCTAAAATTATAATTATTAATGATTATAATTTAAGCACATTTACTTCAGTTTGATTAGCTCTTTATCATATGATTGATTAAATGATCATGGAATACATAATGCATACCTCCAGATTGAGGGTTGCAATGACGGGTTTGTGGTCACTGACCCCATACGAGACATCACAGGTGTACATTTCCTGCGTCACCTTAATAGGATGCTCATCATCGTCAGCTGATGATGATGTCAACCTATTCTCATCCTCAGTCTCTGTAGCTTTGGGTTTTATCCTCCACAAGATACGATCCGTCCAGGCAGGCTTCCGCTTTTTACCACTAATCATTGTCCCATGCAAAAAAAAAAGAAAAAAGTCAAGGAATGTAAATAATACTGAAGTAATAAATGCAGAGTGAGATTGTAGTCTTGGAGAACTTAAACTTATTATATTATATTGGCTTATACACACTAAAAAAGTTTGGGGTCAGTAAGGGGTCTTTTTTTTTTTTATTAAGAAATTAGTACTTTTTATTAAGAACTTAATACTAATTATTCAGCAAGGGTGCATTAAATTGATTAAATTAAATTGCTGTTCTTCTTTGCTGCTATTTCTATTCATTAAAGAATCCTGATAAAAATGTATTAGTTTCAGCATATCAGCATACTAGAGTGATTTCTGAAGGATCATGTGACACTGAAGACTGGAGTAATGATGCTGAAAATTCAGCTTAGCCATCACAGGAATAAATTACATTTTTAAATATATTCAAATAGAAAATACTTTTTTACTGTTTGTACTTTCTTTTTTACTAAATAAAAGCAACCCTGTTGAGTTTAAGAGTCTTCTTTTAAAAACATGAAAAACCTTACCTACCCCAAACTTTCAAGATAGATAGATAGATAGATAGATAGATAGATAGAGAGAGAGAGAGATATGCTGTAGTTGTATACTGAGAATTCCATGTGAAATTCCCATTTCCATGCAGACATGCAACTGATATGCTGTGATCTACTTCTACAATATGAGACAACATGCAAATGCATCAAACACCAGCATATCAGAGTGAAACATGCTTTCTACACAGTGATAAGGTGCTTAGTGACAGGTGCAAAGCAGTTCTCCATGACAGCTGTTAAAAGCCCAACGACACACTGACAGCATTTCATGGATGTGTGGTCATGTATTAAATATGATGGAAGGGCTGGATGGACGAATGGAGTGATTGGTGTATACATGATTTCATGCATTTTTCAGAAAACCCCTATTTCACTTTTTCCACCTTGACTAGTAATCTTGAAAATAAATTAAAAGTTTGCGCTAATCTTTCCATTGGAGACACAGACTTCCTCTGCTTCCATTACGGACACAGCAAAACACCATTTCCCAACCATATTCCAATACCCATTTAACAATTCAGCAAACTGACAGCTAAATGAGGAAAAGATCTGTGCTGAAGACACTTTTGTACACAGACACAGATTCAAATACTCTGTGGTGCGGAAGACCTCCTATATTCAGCCATTTATGTTTGTTGGGAAATACAATTCCCTTCTTACAACATCCTACATGCCCATCTCATCTTCAATGTAGACATACTACAACATACATGTCTTCAAAGCTGACGGCAGCTGGCACACAGAAAAAACACCTATCACAACATTACATTTGTATAGACATGACTGAAATGCTTACTGGAGCATCTGATAGGAGATTATGCACAGATTGAACGCTGAGTGAAAGGAGTGCAGTGTTTTACAGGGATGTGATGATGATTGACAGGAATTCTGGGTAACAGTGCTTAAGGTAGAGATAAGGCTCTGCAACAAACACAAATATTTCTTATCATATCTTACATAAAGCCAAACCATGTCCTCGGTGTTCTGTTTGGAGAAAGAACGACCATGAATTTCTTCTAAAAAAACACGATAGACTTTCAGGAAATTGAGATCTAAGACTGTTTCCACTTTCATGCATTGAAAATAGTGCATTTATATTGTGTTAATAACATGTAAAGTGTGTGAATGTACCTTATATCGTAAGTCTCAGAGAAACGGTCAAACTTATACGTGGGTTTAAAGCACAATGGTCCCTCTTCAAATTCCTGCAGAATAGGTTCTTTCTTCTTCATCATGGTCAACTAAGAGCCAGAAATCAGTAGAATAGAATAGAATACAAATGCACTTTTTTACTTTTTCGGAATAAAATATATATAATTTATAATCAGCATGCTAAAGAGCCATTGTCTTCAGAAGAGTGTGTATTTGTGCTATCTTTGTTTGTGTGTTTGCCTGACCTGATCTCTGTTCCACAGCAGGTTAAAGCGGCCATTGTTGATTGAGGAGCGGAGAAAGTGCATCCCATGGTCAGCGATACGAAAGTTCAGATCACCAAAACAGAAAACTACCCTGATATGCGGAACAACAGCAATGTGAGAACCATTAAGTATGTGAGAAATCATGAACATGAGCCAACTTCATCCAACTTAACACTCACTTGTGGTCAAGCACTTGTGGTGTGTTGTACATATCGAAGTCTTGTCTGTCAAGTATATATTCAAATTCGTCCATTCGTTGCAGGACGTAGTTCATATGAGCTGCCAGATGACAGTTCAGAAAACACAGCATGTGACCGTAGAATGAGAAACGCACAGACACACCACCTTTATTTCCCTGTGACAATAAATACAAATGCATTAGTCCAGCAGCAACTTATTACAGTAAACCCCCATGTCATACTCACATATTCATACCTCTACAAGGATAGGTGTTTTATTAGGAGGATTTTTATTGTATTATTTGTACTTATTTTTTACCTTTTTTAAGAAATTAATACCTTTATTCAGCTAGGATGCATTAAATTGATCAAAATGACATTGAAGTTTATGCTGTTTTGCCATCACAATAATATGTGTGTGTGTGTGTGTGTGTACCTGTTTTTCTATTCTGGTGGGGACTTAAACCTGAATACACACAGACTCATGGGGACTCGTGTCACGGTGGGGACCTAAATTGAGGTCCCCACGGGTAAACAAGCTAAGAAATCACACAGAATGAAGTTTTTTGAAAATCTAAAAATGCACAAAGTTTCCTGTGAGGGGTAGGTTTAGGGGTAGGGTTGGTGTAGGGCAATAGAAAATACGGTCTGTACAGTAGAAAAACCATTACGCCTATGGAGAGTCCCCACAAGGAGCTGACCAGAGGTGTGTGTGTGTGTGTGTGTGTGTGTTTGTGTGTGTGTGTGTGTGTGTGACTTAAAAAATATTATAACATTTAAACCTTTGAACAGTAGAATAAATATGTCAGTTTTGCAGGAAAATTATATCAATGAAATTTGTGTATAACAGTAAGTGTCTGTGAAATGTAAAGATGTAACGGCTATACCATACCCAGTATCCAAACAGGCCTGTGCGGGTGTATGTACTTTGGATGTCTCTGATGAAAGGCAGGTGGACCTGCTTTGCAAGCAGTATCAGCAGCAAACCCTGCATCCTCACTGAAGTCACCTGAGGACAGAAAGAAAAAAAAAGCCTTTTCATATGTCAAAGCTTCAGTGCATTTCTCAACACAAATGTCACACGCCGCTTTGACCTCCACATCAAAACCGACAGCATCACAGAAAGAGGATTTTAGGAGGTTTCTCTGCAAGAAAGCTATATTAGGCCTTACACAGTGAAAGAAAACAAAAGGAAACATGTATTTGAGCTGAGAATGGATAAGAGTCCTTGATATGTTGACGTAAGAAAATAAGGAGATCGGTCTTGGAAATTCCTGGGATTTTTTGGCAAAGTATAATTAAGTTTTTAAAATCAGAGCTAATTAGTCGTGAAAGGCAGAATGGGACAGGCTCACATCAAATCTGTGGTTACGGTACACAAATGTGCTGGTGTGAAACAATGCCTCTAGTGTTTTCAATGGCCTGCAGTGAACAATGGAGCTTAACAAGCTTAATGAGGAGATGGCTCATCCTGATTTTGTCTCTCTATTCTTTTGTAACTGTTACAACTGCATATAAACATATGTAAGGACACTCAACAGTGTTGAGTGCTGAGATACACAATCAGTTTTTTATTTATTCTCTACCTTGATATATCCCATTGGTGCCAGAGTATCCATGAGAAGGTGACTCCATGAGTCCTCAGAAATGAGATCAGAGATATACCGCACTGGAGTGGCATTCACTTCCTGTAGACTAGGGCACAAACACATCTGCTCATCTTATATCACATCACAATGTAAACGTACCAACTGACAGATAAATTCATTCTGTCTCATACATAGAGTATATATACTGAAAAAAATCTTTGGTGTAGGATTTACTTTGAAACAATTTTAACTCAGAAAATGCTAGTAAATTTCACAGAAATATATATATATATATATATATATATATACTTTTAAGTAGAAAGAACATATAACACACACACATATATATACATGTATATATGCATATATATATACATATATATATATATATTCTCTCAGAAATTGCTAGTAAATTTCTATTTTAAATAGAAAGAACATACAGTATGTTTTAAAAAAACGTATTCAATAAGGATGCATTAAATTGACCAAAACCATTAATCATTACAAAATCATTACAAAAGATTTATATTTCAAACAGTACAACTGTTTACAACATTTATAATAACAAGATGTTTCTTGAGCACCAAATCAGCATATTAGAATGGTTTCTGAAGGATCATGTGACACTGAAGACTGGAGTAATGATGCTGAAAATTCAGCTTTGCCATCACAGGATTAAATTACATTTTTAAATATTAAAATAGAAAACTTTTAATTTTAAACTTTTATTTTAAATCTTAATAATGTTTCAAAGTATTACTGTTTTTACTGTATTTTTAAAGTAAAATCTTGCCAAACCAACACTTTTAAAAGGTAGTGTATATATTAGTGACATGTACAAATAGATATATTTGTCAAAAAAGAGCAATGTGTGAGATCATCTGAGGGCTACGTGAATGAGTGCTCTCCAATTGTGTGGTCACTTTTGACCCTGTACACTTTTAGAAATAAACACACTTAAAACAATTTTCACACTCTCACATTTTCACACCCTCACTGGTTAATTTAATTTAGCCACCAACAATGTCTAACAGTGTATCTTAGGGAAATTCTGGCATTTTTCTGTCATATTTCCTCCACATTTCTAACAATGTATTGTGTTTAATAGCATTCTTTGGTAGTAATGACGTTTTAAGCATTTTCAGAATAAATTGGCCTACTAACATGGCCTAGATTTTTTTTTTTTTTTTTTTTGAGTGTAAATCTGCTGATCATGTGATTCAGGTGATGTTAACTCACCCAATCACAAAGAGGTCAGTGGCCGGCTGCGAGTAAAGCTGCAGTAATGACCTCACATCGGCTGGTGGCTCCGCTGTGCCAACATTCCATGTGACCACGTGCAGCCTGAACAAGAGAAGAAGTCACAAACAGAGCAGGAATCAATTAATGAATGAACTGGGTTCATATAAACTATGATTTGAATATCTGAGAAAAACATGTGAGAAAGTATAAAATTAAAGATAAAATGCAAAGAACTTGCTGGCAAAGCACCAACAAAATCCACGTCTTCTATTACATCAACACAAGTCTATTTAAAACTAATTTTCAATGACTCCGTAAACCTGAAGGACTCTCTGTTGGTGTATTTTCCACAGAGGTAAAAGGCTTTGTCTAGCGTATGGGACACTTCCTCATTTGCCTCATCATCTGAGCTGAGATCCTCCAAGCAGACGAGCAACTGAGCGAGCCTCTGGCGGAGAATCACCAGCGATGAAGTAGACGTCGTGGTGGACGTACTGTCAGAGCGCACACGTGGAACATCAAATGTGTCCGACATCTTTTTTGCTGTTCTCCCAAAACAACTGATAATCTGAAGCCTGATTTATCCAATCCAAGACATCAGCTGAAGTGAGTAGATTTATTATTTGATTCTCTATTGTATTGGCCCCAGATGTCTACATGCTGTAGTTCCAAGACTCATATTTCTCAGATCTTCTCAGAAACAGAAGTTTATCATTCTCCTTTGACACCAGGAAGCCTTCAGAAATCAAGTAGTTAGTAATTGCAATAAATGTAACCCTTTTTGTTGCTCTACATGTTCTCATTGCATCTTGTTGCCTGAATGGATGTGTGTGAGTAAAAGCATGCGTTAAGGAGAGTATTTGGGATTATGAAGTGTAATCTGGAGCAGTACAGAGCCACGTGAATGAGGCCAGGAATACAAAATGCAAAAATTACTAACAGGCCTGATCTCCAAATCACTGCATGTATTGTTGCATGTATTGTTGCAGGTCTTGAGCGGCGCAAGTAAATGTCGACCGATGCTAATCTGCTTTATGTAAGAATTGGTCTCAACACTTTGAATATTTCTTGGACTCTACAATCAATCAATCAAATAAGGTAAATATTTTTTCTAAATATGTGAGAGCATAATGCCAAACTTTGAAAACAAACTTGCATTAAGTTAACTCTGAGAGAGTTCAATTTTACTACCTTGGAGTCAAATGTAACTATATCTGAGTTGATAATTTCTTATCATAATTTTTTGCCAATTTGTGCTGCTTTTTTCTTTTAAACCAGAAAAATTTTACTAATTCAACAAATACTAATAAATTAGTCTAAAATAACAATAATTCTGAAATGCAGGCTAATTATCTTTCCACCCTGTTGCTAAATAATACAGTCACATGCAAATTCTTAGGAAGCATTCAGCAGCAGAGAGAAAGAAAAAGAGCAGGCACATAAAGACAAGCAGCTGGTCTTGTGACAAATTGTAAAACTTTTGAGAGAAACACCAGCATTCACAATTTGGTTCCGTGCAAGTAGAAAGTCAGTAATGCTGGACAATAAATCAAACTGAACACATGGAACTCCTTTCACTTCTCAAATCTCAGTTCTCTGAGTCCCATTTCTTTCACCTCACTCTTGTCATCCTTGTTATTTTGAAGTGAAGAGGGGTTCATTTCATTGATTAAGGATGATGTTACCTGAAAGCCTGATGTCCATCCCTGGATCCAACATTTTGTGCGCTCATTCTCAGACCTGTGCACACAAAAATCATGTAAACAAGCATGCATGGTAATTCAAACATTAATCTAATCTAAAAGAGTTAATCCTGTCTCATTTTGAGCTGAAAAGCTTTTTAAAATGATGAAATAAAAATCTGGAGGTTGACTGATTATTATAATATGGATCAGTGATGTAATGTTCACTGAAAACGCTCTGTTGCTATGGATACGGGCAAAAGTGATTATGACTAGCTATAACTTTTATGTTGTTTGATAGTAAAAAAGACTTTTGTTTTGACTTAAAGACTTGTTCAAGACGGAGGTAGTAAATGTATAAACGTTTTTCCAAAAAGCATAACAGTCTAATCTAATTTCTCTCTTGTTTTATGTAACGAGTACTGTTGTCAGCGTTCAAATATGAAAAAGTGGGCTATATTCAAACAGCCATCGAATAAACTTCAAATATTTAGAGATTTTCAGATTAAAACATTACGAAAACTAAGCTCCTCTAAAGCTACCGTAACGAAAGCAAAATTAAATTTATGCTACTGCATAATTAAAGAATCATCTAATCAAACTCCTTACTAAATCTGAAGAATAAGACAACGCAAATAATCTCAGTCATCCTCGCGCAAAGAAAAACAATCTTACCTTTCAGCCTCGGTCTTGTGGAGATTCTGCAGGTGTCTTGAATATCTATTCCGTACTTAACAGGTATAGGACAGTGTGAGAGTTTGGGGTTTGTGTTTACACCCCTTTACTTCCTCACTGTCCGGCCAATCCTCAGAAACCTCTTAAAGCCGCAGTACTTTCATCACATAAACGCCTGAAAGCTTTAGCTAAGTTATGAAAGACTTGAACTGTGTCTAAACGATTTGTTATATGTCGCAATCCTTTTTGATTAGGGCATGAAACAGAGAGTTCTCTGTTCATTAAAAACTTGATTTTTAGCTTAATTTAAAATCCATTAACTTGTTTTTGGTCACTATCATAATGGCAATAATGTGGTTTATGCAGATGCAGTGATTTTAGTAAGGGACACATAAGGTATTTTTGTCAGTGTAAAGAATAATCTTGACTATAAACATTTCTTTGTCATAAACATGCCAGCCTATCAAAGCTGAGGACCTCTAGGACCAGAGATTAAGGGTAAATTTCACCGTCCAAAAATGGTCCATTGCTTTCTTTAATCATCTCAGAGCTGAACGAATCGATTTACCTTACAGTTTTTTTATCATTGCTACTGAGTATAATTAATAAATACATGTAATAAACAATTAAACATGTCACATACAACTGCAACTGTGAAAATGAAATCCAAATGTCTGAATCAAACACATTCCCCTTTCTGAAGGCCTCATAAGAAGGGGTTAGTTTAATCTGGCTTTCATCTCTTCAAATCCTGATTAGGCTGAAAATTTCATTTAATGAAGGGAGGGTTTGCAGTGATCCTTTTTCTTGATGATTTGTGCTTATTTATGTGTGTTTGTCCTGTGTGGGATTGAATGGGTTAGCTTAAAGTAAGGACATGTTTACTGTGGAAATTAGATGAAGAAATAGGTTTTATTTGCATAGAGAAAACAATAAATGGAGGAAAGAGGGGAGGTCTGAAAATGTCGCAAGCCAGACTCAAACATACACTGAACAAAATTATAAACGCAACACTTTTGTTTTTGCCACCATTTTTCATGAGCTGAACTCAAAGATCCAAGACTTTTTCTATGTACACAAAATGCCTATTTCTCTCGGTGTGACCACCTTTTGCCTCACGCAGTGCAACACATCTTCTTCGCATAGAGTTGATCAGGTTGTTGATTGTTGCCTGTGGAATGTTGGTCCACTCCTCTTCAATGGCTGTGCGAAGTTGCTGGATATTGGCAGGAACTGGAACACTCTGTCGTATACGCCGATCCAGAGCATCTCAAACATGCTCAATGGGTGACATGTCTGGTGAGTATGCTGGCCATGCAAGAACTGGGATGTTTTCAGCTTCCAGGAATTGTGTACAGATCCTTGCAACATGGGGCCGTGCATTATCATGCTGCAACATGAGGTGATGGTCGTGGATGAATGGCACAACAATGGGCGAGTGGCCTTTTATTGTGGCCAGCCTAAGGCACACCTTTGCAATAATCATGCTGTCTAATCAGCGTCTTGATATGCCACACCTGTGAGGTTGATGGATTATCTCGGCAAAGGAGAAGTGCTCACTAACACAGATTTAGACAGATTTGTGAACAATATTTGAGAGAAATAGGCCTTTTGTGTACATAGAAAAAGTCTTGGATCTTTGAGTTCAGCTCATGAAAAATTGGGGCAAAAACAAAAGTGTTGCGTTTATAATTTTGTTCAGTGTATGTCACTGTCATGAGCACCATAGCTTAACGTGTCAATGCGCTGCCCTCTAGGAGAACAACTCTGATGTTAAAGGGATAGGCCTAGTTCACCCAAAAATGATAATTCTATCATTAATTACTCACACTCATGTCGTTCTCATCTGCGTTCATCTTCAGAACACAAATTAAGATATTTTTGATGAAATCCAAGTGCTTTTTGACCCTGCTTAGACAGCAACACAATTACCACCATCAAGGCCCAGAAAGGTAGTAAGGACATTGTTAAAAAAAAAAACTTTATTCTACATTTTATTCTCTTTCGTGCCAGTCTTCAGTGTGTGTTGATGACAGTAAAGTTTTTTTTTTTTTTTTTGTATTTTTTTTTTCAGAACATTAAGTTTGAACCACTGATGTCACATGAACTATTTTAACGATGTCCTTACTACCTTTCTGGGCCTTGAACGTGTTGGATGCGTTGCTGTCTATGCAGGGTTCTCGGATTTCATCAAAAAAATCTTAATTTGTGTTCCGAAGATGGACGAAGGTCTTGTGTGTTTGAAACGACATGAGGGTGAGTAACTATCCCTTTAAGCAAACAACTGAAAAATGTGTTTGATCAAAGAAGAAAATGGAGTACAAATTTACTGAAAAAACAATATTGAATAAGTATTTTTAGAACTTAAAGACGTGTAAACCAGTAAAACACTACTTTTTAAAAGTGTATTTATTTTTTCACATCTCCAATGTAATTTTATTGGAAGATAAGATGACAAAAGGCACAAATTCACAGTAAAATAAATTGTAAAAAAAAAACATGACATGACAGGGTGGGATGAAACAAATTCATAAAACATTTTTTTGTTTTGTATTTCTAGAATCATTGGGTTTTAATTTCGACAACAAATCATGAAATCTAACAACAACAAATCTATGAGAAAGTCCTGTTTACCATGATCTGCCTCACATAATGGTAACACAAACTGTGGATGATCAGTTCATGTGGATAGTTCCCTTTTATAAGCCACCTGTCTGTCATTCAAACACCAGCTTGGACAAGTTTCAATCGAGAGAAGAATGGCAACCTAGTCCAAAACCTCCTGAAAGGGTCTTTTTCTCAAGTTCAAAGGTCATGGCTTCGTTCACAGTGTAAGCTTTGAAAGGAATTTGAAAGTGAGAGATTTCTATGGCTCACAGCAAAAATACAACAACAATCGATGAATGAAAACATATTTAGACACCATCCTGCCAAAGAGGAGCGGCCAGGGATGTGGGGCGGGGCCAGTGACAGTGATGGGCGGAGTTATCTGAAGGTTCCCTTATAGATTGTTCAAATCAATAGCTCAAATCTAGTTTTAATTTCCTAAACCACCATTAATCACCACCTTCCAGTAACTTTTCCCACAGATAACACCCAGCCATTACTAAACCACTAGATATAATTATTCTGGTTGGGTTGATGGAAGGCTTTATGTGCTGATAGCCTGGCAGGATAGTCTGAGCTATATTTATATAGTTATATATATATATATATTTATGTGTTCATCTACATATATTTATATACTATATACAATTCAATACATACATCCATACATCACTTTGATAAGACTCAGGACCAACACAGTTTTGGTGTATCGATGGTTGTATTATGACGGTAAAGATGTTTTAACACGCGCAATCTACACCATAAAACTTGCATCCATCTCTTAAGAATTCAATGGAATTTCTACGAATTTCAAAGAATTCGATGTAATTCTACAAGAATAATTTAACTCTTGTCAGAGTGAATTTAGGTGTGCATTAATGGGTCCTGAGCATTGGCGGAAAGAAACACAAGGGTGTAAACTTCCATTTTAGTTACATGTCGGATGTCCCTCACGCGAAAACAAGAAACACTGAGAACTTCAAACGCACATACATCCATACACACATCACGTTACTAAGAAAAGACTGATTTAAAAACCCATACTCAACCCATTTCACCTTCCTTACCCGATTCCATATCAATAAAACTAGGAGCGATTGGAAGTGAGAGTATATTTGTATTAAAGTCCTAATGACGCAACATTCTGAGAGGGAATGGATTATACACTTCTAAAGTCACTATCTCACATCATGTATGTTGATTGGAAGGGTTTGTCAAATGAGGTATTATTGCTAATATCTGGATAAATGTGTCTTTATCCTCAAGACATGTTATAAAAGGGTAAGTACGATAATCGATCCTTCAATAAAATGGAAAGGAGGTGAGACGAAAATTAATTATACATTTATAAAATATGCGCATAACGTAAAACATCCTCCTTGAGCACCTCATCTGGTGACAAAATAGTCAGGAAAAAAAACTTTTTTATATTAGTAATAAACCTTTTATGAAAGATGTCAAGACTAAAAGATTTAGTGTCGCCTCTTCAAGTTCTTTCAAAGACAGTCAGTCAGTCACTGACTAAAGAAAAGGGCGGAGCCTGATCTTGTAAACCAATCAAAAACAACCAAGGGAGGGCGAGCTACAGCTACAGTATACCTGTCTTTTTTATATAAATAAATAAAATAGCTTGACTAAAATAGCACATACAAGGAAACTGTGGAAGAAATTACTATGAAACCATTAATATTGATTGATTAACAAACAACAATACTTTTAACTTCAGCTTATTTCAAGAATGTGATACTGTTCGATCAGCTGATTATAATAAACTCTGTTTTTTGCATTTAAATATGAACTGTACTTGTAGTCCATAATGCATGTTACAAATAAATTAATGGTCAGGATGAAACGACTGTGATTGTACAGTACTACACTATAAAGAGACACATTTACACCTTGGATCAGCTGGTAAATAGGTAAAAAAAAATGGGTAAAATGAAATTAAAACAAACAGCAACAAAAACAAATCACTACAGATTAAAACAAAACAAGGAAAACCCGGCTTGGTCCACAAAAAAAAAAAAAATTTAGGAGGACAATTACTTAAAAACCCTGTTTATACATCTGTCACAATAATTTCACTGCCAATAGATATTCTGAATATATATGCACACAAATATCATCTGCTTTACATTAAACTCATCTTAAAACACAATTCTGCCGAGCTCCATTTATTAAGGTAATGATCTGACATCATAAATGACGAACTGCTGATCGTCCCTGTATTTGTTTAAGTAGGTAGACTTCATAAACTGGGCATGACGTTAGAACCGGTATAATAGCCTATTTAACTAGTCAATGTGCTCCACTGTCAGACTGAAAGGAGGATATGAAGGATGCTCAGGACAAACTGCACCAAAAGGGCTGGATGAAGGACTTTGATTATGATTAAAAAGACATGTTGCTTTGATTTGATTGAGGGGAGGGATGCTGCTGGTCTCCAGTAGTTCAGGTCTGATCTGAGAAAGACTCACAGGAAATGACATGACAGAGAGAGAGAACAAGAATATTCAATTACTTTAAAGGTTAAACTCCACAGTGATGATCAGAATAGATTACTAACCTGCTACTGATTGAATACTGTCCAGTACATACTGCCATTCAGTGGTTTTGGGTCAGTAAGATTATTTATTTTTTTATATACTTGTAGTCAGCAAGGATGCATTAAATAAGTAACAATAATGATTTTTAAAACGTTACAACAAACTATCTATTGATCAAAGAATCTTGAAAAAATGGTTTCAAATCCGCATATGTGACCCTGGACCACAAATCCAGTCATAAGGGTCAATTTCTCGAAATTGAGATTTATACATCATCTGAACGCTGAATAAATAAGCTTTCCATTGATGTATGGTTTGTTATGATAGGAAAATATTTGGCCGAGATACAACTATTTGAAAATCTGGAATCTGAGGGTGCAAAAAAAATCAAAATATTGAGAATATCACCTTTAAATTTGTCCAAATTAAGTTAGTCTTAAGTGTCAATTTTTCAATTATACATCATCTGAACGCTGAATAAATAAGCTTTCCATTGATGTATGGTTTGTTATGATAGGAAAATATTTGGCCGAGATACAACTATTTGAAAATCTGGAATCTGAGGGTGCAAAAAAAATCAAAATATTGAGAATATCACCTTTAAATTTGTCCAAATTAAGTTCTTAGCCATGCATATTACTAATCAAAAATTAAGTTTTGATATATTTACGGTAGGAAATTTACAAAATATATTAATGGAACATGATCTTTACTTACTTGACATAAATGAAAAATCAATCATTTTGACCCATACAATGTATTTTTGGCTATTGCTACAAATATACCCAAGCGACTTAAGACTGGTTTTGTGGTCCAGGGTCACATATTAGAATGATATCTGAAGGATCATGTGACACTGAAGACTGAGTCATGATGCTGAAAATTAAGCTTTACCATCACAGGAATAAATTATTAAATTTTAAAATACATTAAAATAGAAAACCGTTATTTAAAATGATAATAATATTCCATATTGCTGTTTTGACTATTATTGATCAAATAAATGCAAACTTGGTAAGCACAAGAGACTTCTTTCAAAAATACAAAAAAAACTTTGTCGCATGACCTTATGTTGCGAACAGTTGTGGTTATCAGCAGTTATCAACTTAAAAATACATTATTACATTTCTTTTTAAAATTATTTTCATTTTTGGCAGTCTGGCACTGAAAGTTCAAGTTTAGTATTCTATGCATACTGTACTCCCAACATAGTTAATGTGAATATGCTATCCCAAACATAGCCCATATATTGCATCCATATACTAGGAAATATATTTAAAAAAAAATAAAGTTCTCACTTGCTGTTTTAGATAAATGACGTTAGGGGGCGCTAAAGATTGTCAATTACCTTTATGAACAGCAGCATCCAGGAACACGTAGCAGCTTCAGTCTTCAAGAGCCACCATGCCTTTCACTGGATCCTTCACTCTCATCTGAAAGACAGCAAGAGAAAAACATGCATGTGTACATAAAGTGAATAGCTCCTTGTGGAAGAACAACAGGCTACAAATGTGATTCAAGAAGGACTTATCCTGATTTTTCCTATCCTCTGGGATTACAGATCACTTGTGGGAGTCAAGGAGGAGACACTGATTTCTGGGATAGTCCTGCAAAGTATGTGAAACTAGGGATGCCGCCAATACATGACGTCACTCATTCCCCGAACGGCACCTGAGAGCGCTGAACTGTGACCTGCTCCACTCTGCTGCCCCTTTTGTTCGCAGTGACTGGACCTCATTATGGGCTACATTCAATTATTCATCTGCCTTGATACACGTAATTGTCTTTGTGTGGTGGGAAAATTTGTGGCAGGCCGAAAGGCGACACTCAAAACACCAGACAAACACAAACAAAAACTCAATCTCGCAACAAATGAATTCAGCTGTTTGTAAATTCTACAAGAAAATATCTCGGAGCAATTCGTTTGTTTGGCTAACTGACTAAAATTGATCATTACCATATAAAGGCTGGTTCAAACTGAATAACAGAGATGAGGAATAATTTAAAGTGGACAAAGACAGGGTCATCTGACCTCATCCAGTTCCCTCCTGGTCTCTTCCTCCATTCTGCGGATGTCGTCCATGTTCAGCTCGATCCATTTATCAATCCAACAGAACAGCTGCCGGTGGAAATTAGTGAACAAGCGCTTCTCTTGCTGTTAAAGGGAGAAGGAGGTACAAAATTCATTTTGGAAGGTGAATTTTAAACTGATTTTATTTACATAAAATTGGAGGATGGAACTTAATTTTATCAGGGATTGGATGACATACAGTTTATATCAGTTAATGGTAACTAACTTTCTGATGGCATTTGTCTATGTGTAGAAAATAATAAAGTAAAACAAAAAAATAGAATTTAGTCAGACTTCAAACCATTTAAAATTTGGGGGTTGATAAGATTTCATGTATTTCAATATGTTTAAATGTATAATTTATTCCTGTGATGGCAAAGCCGAATTTTCCGCATCAATCACTCATCAATCACGGTGTCACATGATCCTTCAGAATATCTGAAGGAAGATTCTTCTGATTTAAGAAACATTTTTTTATTATTCTCAATGTTGAAAACAGCTGTGCTGCTTAATAATTATGTGGAAACAGTGTTACAATAATTTTTAGGATTCATTGATAAATATAAAGTTCACAAGACGATCATTCATTTAAAATATAAATCTTTTTTCCATATCACAACAAAATTATAAATGTCTTTACTGTCACTTTTGATCAATTGAATGTGAATAAATATATTAATTTATTTACAAAAAAAAATAAAGTTGGTAAACAACAGATTTTGTCCTCTCAGTAAACCTTTATATTGCGCAGATGAATCATAGACAATCAGTCCAGGAACATGCACTAAATATGGTCAAAAATTTGATTTGATGGTAACTTTAATAAACGGTTTAATCAATCACACTGACCTTTTGAATAAAGTTTTCCACTTTGTTTTGCAGGCCCCACCACTTGAACTTGACAGTAACCAGTTTGTAGGCACACATGTGTGGGCAGTCTGTCCTTTTAGGTAGCTCTTTCTACACACACCCAAAATCCATTAAGCATTTGGATATAATTTGCCATTAATAAGCTTCCCACTCATACATCAAGCATGCACTTACTACATTTACACAAATTTTATACAAGCACACAGCCATTAGAGGTGCTTTAAAATGTATCACCTTCCAATCCTGACCGAGCGGCCCTCTTCCAGTCTTTACAGACTTAAACTTAGTGGGGTCTTCATCTGGTTTATAGTCCTACACAGAGACAGCACTGATCGGATTAGAAAGTAACTGGAAAAGGCAGCTATTTTATCTAAGTAAAGCTCACCTTTGGCTCCACCTGACTGCGGTCTGCGATGTCTAGGTACACCACCTCCACCTTCTTCCAGGTGTCTGGGTCTAGCCCGTGAACCTGTAAAGAAGAACAGAACTATCATACTTGAGAACATAATTGTCAGGTTTGGCACAAAATTGTGGAGTTCACACACATATAATCTACTACTAGACCTATACTCACATTGTCCTGCTGTCCCATGTCGGGTTTGTGCCACGTCTCGATCTTGATGAGGAAGTTTTCTTTCATATACTCATTCTAAAAACACAGATAATCAATGAACAAACTGATAAACCATAACTGAAGGACAGACTCCGCAGTGACATACTGACATCTGTCCTCTCTCCTTTCACTCCAGCTAAAGTTACTGTCTCCTCTTTCAGTCAAACAGTGAGTGTTTGTATGAGTTTGTGCTGTACATCTACATGTTCAACATGTTTGTTCATTCATATGAATGAATATGACTTATTTGTGTACTTGCAAAGATTGTATACTTACAGTAATTACTGAAGGGTGATGCAGGACAGACAATGGGGGGGAAAGGAAAATAAAATGTGAATTAGATCATTTATGTTTAAGAATACATCAAATCTCATTTAAGACCATTTCTAATTTTATTTAATCTCATTTTAGCCCATATGTGACCCTGGACCACAAAACCAGTCTTAAGTCACTGGGCTATATGTAGCAATAGCCAAAAAAACATTGTGTGGGTCAAAATTATCTATTTTTCTTTTATGCCAAAAATCAGTAGGATATTAAGTAAAGATCATGTTCCATGAAGATATTTTGTAAATTTCCTACCTTAAATATATCAAAACTTAATTTTTGATTAGTAATATGCATTGCTAAGAACTTCATTTGGACAACTTTGAAGGCGATTTTCTCAGTATTTTGATTTTTTTGCACCCTCAGATTCCAGATTTTCAAATAGTTGTATCTCGGCCAAATATTGTCCTATCCTAACAAACCATACATCACTGGAAAGCTTATTTATTCAGCTTTCAGATGATTTATAAATCTCAATTTCAAAAAATTGACCCTTATGACTGGTTTTGTGGTCCAGGGTCACATATTAGTCTGGAAGTAAACATACTGAAATAATATCCATATACAAACTCAACATTAGTTCTAATCAGACCGTGAATCATTACTCATAAATTCTCATTATACAACGATAAGCTTTGTAGGTTTCATAGTCAAAATGGTGAGAAACAATAAATAAGCTCAGTAATTCTGTTCACTTCATGCAACTTAACTTGACATTAAATGCTTAAAGATGTTGTTTTACTCTAATGCTATTTTTGAGGAAAATGTCAGTGATTCTATGTTTGTAATTCAATATCTGAAAGCAGATTTACTTAAAATCAGCATGAAATGAAATGAAAATTCACCCTATCTATTTCTCAAATGCATGTTATTCATCTTATTGTGAACGATTCATCTATGCGTGCTTTATTATTGTTATCATTTAAATTTGACATTGTAATTTTTGATCAAAATGTCATAACTCAATCTCGACTCCAATGATTTAGTCTTTAGATGTTTATTAAACCCAGTCTCTCCACAATCAACCCCACAAACTCCACAAAATCGGCAACCGATGGATTATTTTATTTTTCAATAATCTGTTACACTCATATGTACACCACAATACAGAAGAAAATATCTATAAATACTTCCATTTTATTGCCACTTTTAAAATCTATTATTTATTAATTTTACAAGGTACAGTAAAATTAGGTTGCTAACTTTTGTAATTTGCAATGAATACAAAAAAATTCCATATTGACTCCTGAAACAGATGTTTGGACCTTTTCCTGTGAAGGAACTGTAGAACTGTAGAAGCTAGAGCTCTTGGCTCTTAATTGAATACCTCTAACGCACTACAATGTAACTGTATCTAGACACCCTGACTTGGACAAATAGTGGAAAACACATTTCTTTCTTCTAGCAGCTTGCTGACGGTTGGCCAATAATCTCAGACAAATCATTTTGTTATTCAATATTAATATTATTAAATCATTCAAAAATTCAATATAGCTCAATACTTGCCATATCAACTTTTTACATGTATTCAAAAACAAAACTGTAGACTTGTTTTAAGCACTGCAGTGAGATTTAGAAATATCTTGATAGCAGACTTTAGCGAATGGGGAGTCTGTCATCTATGCGGCTGTGAGAATGATGTGAAGGGAATGTGTCAATATAATCTCAGTTTCCTGTGCTGTAACTCCACTCCTGCTCAGCTCAAATAGTGAATTATTCAGTGCCCGCAAATGCAGTGACAGAAAAGAGACGGGGAGAAACAGATAAGAAGACATAATAATATGAAAGCAAGAGGAAGAAAGAGCACATGAGAAGAAATTTAGCTGTTAAGAGTGTGTGTGTGTGTGTGTGTGTTACCTGTGCGGCAGTATGGGTAGGCGTTCCAAGCTTTCTCATGAATGTTCAGTGCTGACGCTGGTGCAAGCATTCGTACAAATGACGGGACTTTACTGAAAAAGCAAAAATGCAAATGAGAAGTAGACTAATATTCTTAAAATACTTTCTCCAAAACTTTGTTTGTTTGAGCAATTTAACTAGTTAAATTAGCAACATAGCAACAGTGGCTCTGGTGTGAGTTTGGGGCGTGGCTATCTGTTTGTCTGACCAATAACCGACAAGGGAGGTATTTTGGAAATCTGTTTGAAAATATTCATTGTTTTTACATTTCTTTTGATTTAAATAACACACTATCACCTTAAAGGGTTAGTTCACCCAAAAATGAAAATTACCCCATGATCTACTCACCCTTAAGCCATCCTAGGTGTAGGCTATATGACCTCACAAGGCTCCGGGAGAGGGGGAATAAAGGCCTCCTGTAGCGAATCGATGCGTTTTTGTAAGAAACATATCCATATTTAAAATTTTATAAACCGTAATCTCTAACTTCCTCTAACTTTTAATCAAAACTTGCACTACGCCGACGTCCTATGTCATCTGCTGGAACGGCATTCTATTGTGAATGTGCGTATGACAGCTAGCGGAAGTTAGAGATTACTGTTTATAAAATTTTAAATATGGATATTTTTTTTACAAAAACGCATCGATTCGCTGCAGGAGGCCTTTATTCACCCCCTGGAACCGTGTGAGGCACTTTTTATTATGGATGGATGTGCTTTATTGGACTTCTTTTGGACTATTTTGGACTACTAAAACAACACCCACCCACTGTCATTATAAAGCTTGGAAGAGCCAGGACGTTTTCAAATATAACTGCGATTGGATTCGTCTGAAAAAAAGAAAGTCATGGGTGGCTTGAGGGTGAGTAAATTATGGGGTAATTTTCATTTTTGAGTGAACTACCACTTTAAAGCATTAGGTAACAGAAAATTAAGCAAATAAAGAAGTCAAGCACCAAAATGTCAGAACAGCATCATAAAACTACAGACAAGTAGTCCATATCATTCATATTCCGAGTGTTCTAAAGCATTTTGATAGTTTTCAGTGAGGAACTTACAACACAGCATTTTTATGGTGCTTTTTGTCATTATTTGAGATCAACTAAATTGTATGAAAAAAAAAAACCTGGACATTCTGCTGAACTTCTTTACTTGTGGAAGATAAAATGTACTGGTTTGGAACAACTTGAGGATATGTAAATGATGAACCTATTTTTAGTGCACTATTGTTTTTAAATTTTAACATTAATCTAGCACATTTTAATTAATACACTCATGTGTCTGTGGGTTTGTGTAAGTATGAGTACCTCTGCAGGTGGTAGATTTTGTGTGTGTACTGTCCCTTCTCTCCATCCTTCTCATAGGGTTCGTTCTTCAGGACCTCAACGCCCTCTCCTCCACCTGTCTCGTTCTTACTGGCCTCCGCTACGGAGTACAGCTGCCCGACCTGATACTGTGAGACACACAGAAATACATTTCACAATCTCAAACTTCTTAAGTGTGTTTGATCACTATTGTCTATTAATCCTGGGTTCTCTTGTGTCACTCTCTTTCTCTCTCTCTCTCTCTCTCCTTCCCTCTGTGTGTGTGTGTGTGTGTGTGTGTTTCCCTCCTCTTCTGCTAATCTATGCTGAATAAACAATGGCTTCTTTCATATCTTAATCACATATGTGACCCTGGATCATAAAACCAGTCTTAAAGGGGTGGTTCACTGTTTTTTTTCTAGGCTTGATTGTGTTTATGGGGTGCAGTCTAACATGTGTTAATGCTTTGTTTAAAAAAAAAACGCATTCTTTTTCACATAATTTACCTTTATTCCACACCGAAAACTTAATTTTTGATTAGTAATATGCATTGCTAAGAATTCATTTGGACAACTTTAAAGGCGATTTGCTCAATATTTTGATTTTTTTTTGCACCCTCAGATTCCAGATTTTCAAATAGTTGTATCTCGGCCAAATATTGTCCGATCCTAACAAACCATACATCAATGGAAAGCTCATTTATTCGAAAAATTGACCCTTATGACTGGTTTTGTGTTCCAGGGTCACATATAATCCTGTAGAGAATATAGTTAGAATATAAACAGACACACCATACACAGTAAACACTGCAAAAAGACGCATAAGCACTGACACATGCACAAGGACATTTTAGTGCATCACATTCATAATAGGGGAATGTGAGATGCGGTCTGCATTGAATGTTGCAATTAAAAAAAAAACAAAAGGAAAGGAAAGAGAAGTCTTACTAAGGGAACAGTTTAGTCTGATTCCTGAACAAATTACTCGTATGAAATTGTTCTTTTTATTGAATCCATACAGTGTGAAACAGTGCAGTCCTGATCTAATGACCCCTTTGAGCTGGTTTTTAATGAATAGTTCAAAGATTTCAGTTAGCGGTTTGAATCTATCAAATCCTACACTGAACTGTTGGAAAATGAATCAACATCTAACTCACTTTCTGACCGGCAAATTATCAATTTTAGGGATGCCTGTATTGAAATGAAACACATTTTGTGTTACTATTGTATCATTAGCCTAATGAGTGATTTTCCATATCACAACATGTTAAAGTTCAAATTATAATCTACTAATAATGACAATAATTTTCCATTTAAAAGGAGGATCTGCAAACTAAGGATGCAAAAGTGGACATTTAGACTTTGCTAAAGCAATTTAGATTTTCTTATAACCCTACAATAATCAAGCATATTAATTATAAAAATAAAAAATATATTTAAAAAAACATTCACAATATACATATTTGAATGGGCATGACAATATAAAAAGAGAAAACCTGCAGATATTGTTGAGTCTTATGTTGTACCAAAAAGGGTGTTTTCTCAGCGACGCAATAGAAGAATCATTTTTTAGAAGAACATAGTTCTTCATGGAAGTTGGAACCATCAATGCCAGTAAAGAACCTTTTTTTAAGCACGCAGATCGAGTGTGTTAGACTAAGAGATTTAGTGTCCTGACACACGTTCACTGTCAGCAGCCTCTACTCAGAGTCTAAGCTGAGCCAGCAGCAAAAACTCAAGCTAAAACACCTCCAGAATCTTACCTAGAAACAGCCCGACTGTTTAAATGTGGTAATTCATCCCTAAACACACCATCCATCACGCATAAGCATTTGTGTGTGTGTGTGTGTGTGTGTGTGAGAGAAAGAGAGAGAACAGAGGAAAGAAAATGACGACACAAAGCAGACTGCCTATTTATACCAGTTGGCACCAGAGAATGACAGATAGAGGAGAAAAGGGGAGAAAAAGAAAGAGAGGGAGGAGAGTGCGGTGACACACTCCATTGCATAGATAGATACATATATACATACAGACATAGATGGATACATATATACATAGATATATAGATGATGGATGGATGGATTTCATGCCTCCTGTGTAGTGTGGGGACTATGTGTATGGTTCTGTATCTACATGCAGTGTCATCATTCCTCTGCCAATCAGAGAGTTCCCTCTGTCCTCTCAGCCAATCAGAGGCCAGTAGCAGAATGCGTCACTTTGCAGCACTCTATGAAAATCCAACCTATATCACACATTTTCATCCCACTCTCTCTGCAGTCCACACACACACACAGCATCAGACAGGGTTTCGTCTGCAGTGGGTGTGCTATTTTTTTGTATCAGTGTGCCATATATCCATTTTTAAAGTGACACTGCATAAAACTGTAATCTTTTTGAATGAGCAGCATGTGATGTGTAGTATGGTTAAACCCTGATTATAGTTCACTGATGGTGATGGACAGCCTAAAAGATGTGAGCTCAGACTAATCGACAGGCTAACAGAGGATGTCTCACGCGCAGAGCCTGTCTACAATGACAGACAGCTTGTGGTGTTTGTGTGTGTGCGTGTGTGTGTATAATTATAAACAGGAAGAGGAAGAAGGGTAGAAATAAGGGAGTGTCATAAAGGGGGCATAAACTGCCCAGCTGCCCTTAAGCAAGTAAGCTTTCTTAATCCATCATTCCCTGCTGAATGAATGGACTCCAGGAATAGCATTTTGCCCTCTTGATTTAAACAACATCCACCAAATAAAATGTGTCTTTAAGGCTCCTGAAAGCAGATGAAGGATCAGGGCTTTAATTCATGTGAGCTTATCTGACAAGAGCTGCTCTCTGCTTTCAGTGCTCAAAAGAAAGTCGATTGTCATTATTTATTCGTATCTGCAAGCATTAAGACGAATGACCAGTGGTGATTCTGGGAACTGTATGAAAATGGGAGGCACAGAGGGCCAACATTTTCAATGAGGGGAATTAACATCATATCATAATTCCATGTTTTTAAAATATGGATTCCAGATTTCATCCTTGTTGTTTTCTCCTCAAGTAATCTAAGAAACATTAGTCAACAATATGTTGACTAAATGTTAAATAAAATATTTTTAATTTAAATGCCTTCATAGGGGTATACAAACAAAATAAGATAAGTGACTGTCTTTGTGTGAGTTTGAATCATTCAGTCAAAAGATTGATTCAAAACTTTAATTCATTCAGCAATGAAAAAAGTGAGTGAGTCATTGAATCATTCAATTAACCGATTCATTTTAAAATTCATTCAGGAACGAAACACACTACTACGTGTTGCTCTGAGATGCGCAATGCTTCTGCTTTGACTTTGTTTGGGACTGTTACACTGGTGTATAAGTAACTGACAATATTGTGCCTACACAGCAAAAAAGCCAGTGTACAATTAACTCAATTTGAGTCAAATTTAACACTCCTGAAATGTTTATATGACTTCCTCTATTTTGGAGTTAAAATAACATTTTTGAAAGTGTGAAATATGTACTTTAGTCACAGAGTACATTTTAACACTGTAAGAGTTTATTCGTAAATCCAGCAGATGTGTCACACAAAATGTTTTCACATTCAGTGTTTTCAATACATGTAAAGAACATGTTCTTACAACAATTAAAACATCATAATGTCAAAGCAAATCAGCGCAAAGGCACAAAATACATATTCTTATTTGGTCCATATGTAGTGTCATGAAACCCCCCCTGTTTCAGCACTGGTCTTTCACACCTTAGATCTGAAGAAGACTCCAGAAATGGGCATGTAAGGCTGTGGAAAAGTGGGAGTGTAGAGGGTGGGAAGAGGGGAGAAATCAACCAATAAAACACAAACCTACAACACACTCAATATACAGACAAATGAATATTAAAATATCTTTAAAACAGAAAGAATAAAGGCAGTTACTTTTTGTTTATTCTTTGAATTTTCGGTCTAAAAGTTACTCAATCCACTTTATTTTAATGTAAGAGAAGTTGCAGACCTTTTCAACTACAATGTGCAAGGCTTCTTGTGTCAGACGATTCCAGTTGTTTTTGGTGTACAATAATATAGTTAAGTAATGTTTATTATCATATTATTTTATTTTCATAATCATAAAGGTTTACTGCACTGTTAATCTAATTAACGGCTAAGTCTTGAATGAAATCTTAAGCATTGACAGGAAATAGCTTACTTCCACATTGAAATGAAAGTATTGGCTTCTTTTTATTGAATCAATATAATTACAGTCTTGCTGAAATGACGACACTCTTGCTCATGTGATATTGCTTAACTATAGGCTTATAAGAATACTTCATAGTTTATACAGCATTTAAAAATACTGCAGTGAAACTATACTTTTAAAGATCTACATATTTAAAGTATCAAAGTAAACCTCTATGAATTATAGATCAACCTTTATAAATGAAGTGGCTTCCCTTAAATGTCAATTTTCCAGGAATGGGCACTAAAGCAGCCAATCATATTTTATCTGCGATCTCTTTATGCTAATGACAGTGTTTCAACAATAAGGATCATTACTCTGAAAATACACTAATCAATGAAAATGATGAAGAAATAATGAAACTAGGTATGTTCACCCACCCTTGGTTCATTCAACTCAATTTAAATCTAATCTGGTCAACATCCATTTAATTGTGCAGTCTTAATGAATGCAATGCAATGCAAAATCTCCTTTTTAACCTTTTAAACTCCCACTGGGTGCTAGGAGAAGACTCTGACCTGACAGGAAGGACTTACATTAAAATGTCTCGTCCCAGACATATTTTATGTGACAGAACTGATTAGACTATTATCCAAATGGATTTTGGCTGGCAGTACTTTTTTGGAGAATATGCTGAGGTATGTAAAAATGAGTGCAGATGAAAAGAGGGGCCTCACAAGGTGGAAGCAGCCTTTTAATTTGCATAATCCGGCCCAGATAAGGGTTTGTCCCTCAGGGCAGATCCCACATGCTCATGTCGGTCCAAAGTTACTAGGAAATTACTAGGATATTATTTATAGAAACATGAACAGCTGGAGTCAGGTAGTCTGGCAGCTGAGGTGATTTATGTGATCAGATGGTTAATCATGTGACTGGATCTTAAAAGGAATAGTTTATTAATAGCTGGAATAGTTGAAATTTGCTGAAAATGTACCCACAGGCCATTACTTGCTCACCAGTGGATGGTGAATGGGTGCCAACATGACTCCAGTCCATTATTAATGTCTTGTGAAGTAAAAAGCTGCATGTTTGTAAGAAACAAATCTATTGAATCATTTTAACTTTAAACCGATGCTTCTGTCCATAATTCATAGTAATGCTTCCTCCAGTGAAAAAGTTTTTTCGCTACTCCTCCTTCATAATTTGCCCACTTTTTACAAAAATTGGCTCAGATGATCTTCAGACTGAGCTGCACAGAAATGACTGAACAGAATTTTGATATTCATCTTTGTTCAAAAGTTATGGTGTTACGAACTTAACATTGTTGACCCAAAATTGGTTCAGAGGCTGTATCTCGGACAAACTTTGATCAATTGAAATGAAACTTGGTACACTTTATCAACACCATGATCTGAGGGTCCATGCCAAAGTTGGGAACAGCACCACTTATGGGTCGTGAAATACCAAAAATGTATATTTTTGCTTATAACTTTTGAATGATTGTGGATTCCTTGGGTCATGCCGAATCCAAGGATAACAAATTTTGCCAGAATGAGATGAACTGCTTGTCTGCTGTTTTGAAATTTGTCATAAATTGCAATATCTTTTGAACAATTTTACGTTTCGGCACAAAAATTGGTAGGGATCATCGATATCATGTCCTGAAGGTACCTAAGAAGTTTGAAGACAACGCCACCTAGTCTTCCAGAGATATAAGGATTTTAGCAAAAAAAAATTTTTATAACTTTTAAAAGCATTGTCCTAATTTTGTTTTCTCTGTGTTAATACATTCCTTGGCTTATGCCGAGTCTGATGATATCTCAGTTTTCAACATTTTGTTTGTCTGCCATTTTTGAAGTAAATGAAAAACTGTTTTTTCACTACCCCTCCTATAAATTGTCCAATTCTGTTCAAAAATCTGATCAGATAATCTTTGGACCGAGCCACATAGACATGACTGAACAGATTTGTGATATTCCCTACCGTTCCTGAGAAATAACTCTCCAAGGTTGACTGTGCTTTAGGGCTGCACGATTAATCGAATGCGATTATCATGCGCATTTTGTTAAAAAAGCCGGTTCTGTAATCAGCAGGAAATCATCATCACGTGCTTTCAGATGGAGCAGAATTTACTACACATAGCCGTAGTTCACTGACAAGTTACGCAAGTGTTTATTATTCACGTTGAATCAATGAAAGCAGTTTAATCTTCTGTTTATTCAGCTGCAGCGATAGGCATTTTCTGGGTTTCTTCTGCGAGGCGTATTTGGAGTTTCAGCGCGACAGCGCCCTCTGGCCTTTGGATGGAGATTTACTGCTGATCACAGAACCGTGCTTCACTGAAAGATACGCATGACAATCGCAGCTTCTGTCGAATCGCGATCTCGATTCCATTTCGATTTATCGTGCAGCCCTACTGTGCTTATTAGTTAGTTAGCTTAGAGTGGTAATTTGTTAAAGTGCTAATCAGTTGCCATTCTATATAATGTGACTCTTCAGCTATCAGATTAACCGAAAATATGTTAGTATAATAACGTATTTTAGCATGCTAATCTGGTCAACATGCTAAGTATTGCTTTTATGTTATCATTCTACACTGAAAGCTCTTCTCAGCAGCCTGATGACTGTGCACTGAGTGACACACTCTGCTGAGCCACAGGCCCCGAACCTTCCAGGTTGTGGGTTCGAATCCAGTGTAGCACATAACATGTGGCACACTTACAAAATCTTGAGAGTGTTTTGTGCTTTTGAGATGCATATTTTGGAGCCTTTGACTGTTCAATGTGATGTGCTTTGATGAGTTTGCTGTGATTATTATTCTGGCTGTACATGCTGTGCTTAGCCCCGAATTGCTGCTTGCAGCTATATTCATGAATTTGTTTCTTGCAAACACGCAGCTTTTCACTTCACAAGATGATATTTGGTTGACTGGAGTGGTGTGGATTATTGTGATGTTTTTATCAGCTGTTTGGACTCTCATTTTGGCAGCACTCATTCACTGCAGAGGATCCATTAGTGAGCAAGTAATGCTACATTTCTCCAAATCTCTGGCAAATCTGTTTAATTTTGGGGTGAACTATTCCTTTAAAGCTGCAGTATGTAATATTTGCAAAACTTGACAAAACAACAAATTCCAACCGTCAGTCATTGTTCAGGCAAAAAGCACACTTGGTGAATAAAGCATATTCTGATTCTGATTTGTGGTTAGAAATTACACACTGCACCATTAATGCTCCGAATAAACTGATAATCTTGGCAGTTGTCACTTCCCCATTTTGCCACCTCAAAAGCATAAATGTGAAAGTCTAAATTTTGTTTATTTACAGATCAGCAAGTGCTTGAGCTTAGACAACAAGAAAAGCTGAGAGAAAGAGAAGCAGAAGGAGGTGGTATCAGGTAACTCGTTAGATATTCACGACCAGGTCACTGAATAGAATGACACGCTAGAGGATCATGGGAAATGAGGAGACTGGGAGACACAGGGAATGCTCAGTCTGAATGGGGCCAGAGGAAAGAATGAGAGCCAGAGAGGAAGCAAAGATGTGAGAACTGCTGACAAGGCCAAAAGCACAGCTATTAATATTGGCGCATAGTGAGACAAATGATGCATTACTGTTTCCGCACGGGCTGTATGGGATCAAACAGCATGAGAGGAGAAAGATTCATCCTCTTGCTGAGATAACTGAGTCATAAGTGACTGAATGACAGAGTGGTGTGCAGATCTATGGCTTAGTGCACATGGAGAGCATCACGAAATTACATCGTGACTCCTCTGCTGTCAAAACCAGCTAAGACTGAGTCATCCGAAGTCAACACATGCAAATCAGCGATTGACACCGCACACACACATACCAAAACAATTTTTGGATTCAGTGTCATTACCAGCGTTCACAAGCACATGAGGAGACTGGGAGACACAGGGAATGCTCAGTCTGAATGGGGCCAGAGGAAAGAATGAGAGCCAGAGAGGAAGCAAAGATGTGAGAACTGCTGACAAGGCCAAAAGCACAGCTATTAATATTGGCGCATAGTGAGACAAATGATGCATTACTGTTTCCGCACGGGCTGTATGGGATCAAACAGCATGAGAGGAGAAAGATTCATCCTCTTGCTGAGATAACTGAGTCATAAGTGACTGAATGACAGAGTGGTGTGCAGATCTATGGCTTAGTGCACATGGAGAGCATCACGAAATTACATCGTGACTCCTCTGCTGTCAAAACCAGCTAAGACTGAGTCATCCGAAGTCAACACATGCAAATCAGCGATTGACACCGCACACACACATACCAAAACAATTTTTGGATTCAGTGTCATTACCAGCGTTCACAAGCACACACACACACACACTCAATTTACACTTACCTCCTCCACAGAAATCGGTAGGATCACTCGACTGCAAGAGAACAAGAAAAACAAATTATTTAAAATCTACCAATAATAAAATCATTATTGCTATTACCATCATGTTTCGAAAACTCCACAAATGAATAGGATTTTTCTTCAGCCACTATTTTGACAATTTCATAAAATATAACCACAACATACAAATGCCAAGGAATTGCCAAGGAAAATTTATTTTTTTTAATGGCTGCATTTATTTAATAAAATACAGTAAAAACAGTGATATTGTGAAATAGCATTACAAATTTTAAATATCTAAATATATGTTTTCTGTTTTAATATATTTTCAATTGTAATTTATTATTGTTTATTACTGTTAATTAATTATTAATTTAATATTTTTGTGAAAACCATGTTCTTTCCCAAGGATTCTTAGATGAATAGAAAAATTAAAAGACCAGCATTTATTTGAAATAGAAATTTTGTAACATTATATTTTTTATGGTTATGTTTGATCAACTTAACGTGCCCTTGCTGAATAAAAGTATAAATTTTTTTTACAAAACCTTAATGACCTTAACCTTTTGAACAGTATGCATATATTTTAATATAAAATATGTACTGTATATAAAATATATATATATATATATATATATATATATATACTATATTTTTAAACCAGCATAAGTAACCTAAAATATAAACTAAATATAACTTAAATATAAAGTCACTTTTTCATTAGATTTTTGAAAATTTATTTAATCACCAAGATTAGAAGAATTTTTCAGTGCACAGTGGCCAGCAGTGTTTGGGAAACTGCTTCTAATGTTACATACCCTCTGTTTCAAAGCAACTTTGTTGATGTTTTTCCACAGTCATTTTCAGCTCATCTCATATTCCTAATAAACCATAACTTACAGCACTTACAAAAGTGATAGAGAAACTATAACGCAATCTCTGCATCAAGACCTGCTTGGCTTTGTCTCTTCAAGACCTTATATTTAGTGGCTTGAAGTATCAGAATACAAAATGAATCTGTTCATATTAGCAAACCTATAAAAGCTATTCCTTGTCAAGCACATCTATGATATATGTGTACTGTTTCTAGATGGTAGTTGGCAGCGTACCAAACTCTGTGGAGCTTGCATATATAATCAATACTTCTCAGGAGTAAGACAACACCACTACTGCGCTCCATTCCAGCACAGCTCTCTCATTATCTGCCTTATGACATGAACACACACACACACCTCAGGACTGTCTACATCTGACTTATGAGGGCTTCTCTGACATGAAGCATGAGCTTGTCAGAAAGTCAAGGACCAGGTTCACTTTTAATGTCTGACAAGATCATTGACAAAGAAGTCCATACTTTAATGAGAGTAAGTGGTTAGGATAGTTCTGATATTTTTACTAGAAAACAAGTCAAAAATACTGATTATGAACATGATTTTGCACTATATAGTCCTTTTGCGCATGAGGGAATTTCTGTCCTAGCCATATATCAGATGCTTCATAAACTCAGTGGGAAGTTTCACCATTTATCAACAAACGCCATGGTCGCACAAGTGTGTTTTACTGTTTGCTGTTAGCATCTGCTAATAGCAGGAGTCACCTTGCCCTCCTGAGTGCTGCCTGCTGAGTGTCCTGAACAGGGACTATCGGTCACCATGCTGGATTTGGTGTCTCATGTCCTCTGCCTCCATGACACCCAGGCTACTTTCTGCATTATAAATGCCTTTGGCTGGCTGCATGGCTGCATTTTGCTGTATACTTATTGTTTTCGGTAACGAGACAATCAAGTTTACAAATAGATTGTGAAATTCAATATTCAGCTGAAAGGTCAGCGTCGCTATTTTACTAAATATGTGAAAAAAACTGCATCCGTCTAGAGATTAAGTCATCATAATGTGACATTTTACATATGATGTTTAATGTTTTTGTGATTTTCTTTTTTTTTTTATATGAAGGTTGCATTTTTTTTTTTTACTTTTCTACTGTTTTATTTATAGATTTTACGTTACCCTTGTCCTAAAGCCAGACTTTTAATTTCTGCAATTAAATAATCATAAACCATTTCAATATTTATTGTGAAAAATATTTTTACACAAATTACAATTGTCCCACAATTGTCATAATTTTTTTTTTTTTTTTTTTACAAGTTAGTGTATTGTTTACCAATGCGACAACAGTGTCAGTAAAAATGTAATATGAGACATGATGTGTGAAGAAAACTAAGAAAAATTCAGGTAAATATAAAGATAATTTTATAAATGAAACTTTCAATCACACTATAATTTTGTTGAATAACACCAAAAGTGTACAAATATTATTTAATTGTGTGTATTTAGGATACATAAAATGTAGCTATCAAATTAGTTGGCCATTTTATTCCAAAAATATTTAACATTTCATTTTCAGGAAAAAAAAAAAGACAAAATGACAGAATTGTTATTGTTAGTGAGACAAATGAAATAAACTAGCTAGCTAGAGATTATTTTCTTAAATTCCACAGGCCAGAAGTGCGTTTAAGATACACCCGTAAAGATTGTAAAATTAAAATGACATTGAGGCAAGTGTGACTAAAATGGTCTTTATGGCAATTAAGATATGCAAGAGACCCATCAGACATTGTGTCTGGATCCTGGATGTGCACTACATCACAGGAAAGTGTCACCAGAGCAGTGAGAACGAGACACACAGAACAAGAGGTCACTGCTTTAGCTCACAAAAAAGTAGACCACTGATGTCTAATAAAAGCACAAAAATGTAGACAGTTTAATGCATAATGTCCAAGGATTTTTGATTATAAATATCAAGTTTTAAGTTTTTATATCAATCTCAATCACTACCATTTTTAAACACCCTTTTACCTTCACTAATTTAAATAATATGTAATAATTAAATAAACATGACACCTGGAGTTTAATCTTAATTAAATAGCCTGTCCTACAACTTATCAAAACTGAAACTTAAACCACATTTCAATTCCCATTAAAGGTCTAATTCTTTACCCAAGGGTATTTTTAGTGTTGAAAGTTATTTTTAATGCGTTAGTGAAAGCACAAAGTACCATGAACAGCAAACCCTGAGGGACCTGAGGTGTACAAGCATCCACTTTAGAGCCAAGACAACCTGATCCTCTTAAAAACGTGCCATTTGTTTATTGCAGTAGGCTAGTTTGAAGTAGTATGAAGATAACATGTTTTTGTTTAAAGTCTTAAACTACATATGCTGCATAACGGACACCTCGTTCTCTGCGGAACCCTCTCCGTTCCTTAAAATCTCCATGACGTGGCTGAAAGTGACGTCAGAGAGATACGTATGACACATGATAGCGGCGCGTCCTTATTACACGCTTCGCGTTGAAGAGATTCAGCTCGTGGCTGACTCATTCAGAAGACGTGTGTGCGCGCGACAGCGGAATATAAGAGAAAGAGGTATTGTTGAAGGACAAATGAGGAAAACATGATGGTTTGCCTGTTAACTGGTGTCCCAGCCTAACCAGACGAAAGTCATATATGATGTATGTTTCACTTTATTAGAGTGGTTTTACACCTTATCGCTAGTGTTTGTTGAAAACGTTCTTGCCATAGTTTCACGATAGGGGCGCCAAAAAACGATTTGTGTTGCTAACCGATCAGGCTCCTTGCAAATTACTAACAGAAATTATTTTAAAAGTAATAAAAAAACTAATACCAAAACCCCATCTAAATCAAATAAACATATCAGGCTGGTATTTTTTCCACCAAGGACGTCAGAAAATATTCTGAATTAGGCTATATATTATCTGCACTGTTTGGAGATGAATAGAAAGCCTCATATGGTTTCATTGACCTTTCTGACGGTGCCTTGTGTGTTTGTGGGCAAAGAAAGGTTATTAATATTTCAAAGGTGACTGGCGGGGGGAGGTTTGGAGTATATTATCAAGTTATAGTTAGTCGCGCGGTTCAATGAAACGTGCGCAAGGTGAACGGATCCAGTTGTTCTGAAAAGCGCGGACGGTTTAATGAAAATGTGAATATAGCAATCTCATGGCCGCATGGTAATGAATGAACGGGATGTTTCTGAAAGTATTAGTATAAATACACAGGCGCCATTTAATATCGGAACGCGGTGTGCTCAATTCGGTCCGTTTCACCTTCACGAGCGTATCAATAACACAATGTAGAGACAATTAAACTCGGTTGATGAGATATCTGTGCCAAAACATCCACTCAGAGGCGTTTAATTGACTGAAAAATATTTATATTCAGAGGTAACGTTATAATTGCACCACAGGCACGTTTTTAAACACACACGAAGTGTACTGTAGGCGAAGGTAAATTGATAAATATGCGCCAAAGCCGTTTGTATATTAAATACCTGAAAAATATTTACGATCAAGGGCTTTAAATGTGAACTGTCAGAAAGTCAAGTTTACAATGTCGCCATGGCCTTTGGTACCTGCGCTGCATGGACAGTCAGAGGATGCTCCCATCACAATCAGATCAATAAATAACGCTGCACTTACAATTCTTTAATCAGCATTTTCTCCGGTGCTTTATGCCTTCCAAAGATAACGTGCTTTTGCACCTGGATGAAGCCAAATAGGTGTCGAGTCCTGCGTTAGTCCCGGTGTCTCGGTCTACCCCACCTCACCCGCTTCTATGTCATTCTAGGGACCGTTTTTCTATTTCCCACAGATTCACTTCCTGATCAGGGCCGAGGGGGGCGTTAACGACAACCCCTGCTGCTGTGACATAGAAGTGGTGACGTCATGGATGATGTTGATAGTGGTCAGACTTGATGCTTTATTTATTTTTTTTAATAATTAAATAAAAACGGGGACGAGCGTCGATGGATGGTCGGAGGTGGTCGTTAACGACAAGCGCTGATGCTGTGACATAGGAGGGGTGACGTCATGGATGATGTTTTAATGCTTTATTTAAAAAAAAAACACATTTTAAAAACGGAGAGGTGGTCGCTTGTGTGATGTAACAGCTGGTGGTCGCATAGCTCTCTGTATATCAGTCAAATTACAATCTGTCACAAATTATGTAACGACAAACTGGTGCAGACTATTTATAGCACATCTGGAGACAGATCCCACCATCCGATTATTTTCATGTAGTTATAGTATGATCTGCCCTCCATCAAAGCGTTTCTCAAAGCACATTAAATACAGTGTCTCCCATTCACACGGTTTATTTAAATATTTCAAAACCAGATGTATTTGTGCAGTAGACTAGAAATCTAATTATGTATAGAACATTTTTCATATGATTTCTAATTAAGAGTCCGCTTACAATTTTTTTAATGTTTTCATTTATAAAGACTAAAATAAGTGTGATATTACAACGAAAATATTGACATTAAATAAATATTTAAAATTTAAATGAAATAATTAACTTGTTATTGCTTGTACTAAACTCAAAATAAAATATTATCTATTTTTTCCCCAAAACTATGCAGATTTGTTTACTGTAAAGCCTGTTAATTAATCACAATTATTCTTATGATTTCTGTTATTAGAAAACAAACTGTTATCAGAACAAAACTGTTGTGTTGTTTTGATTTGTTATACGGTGTTAGATAAATAGTGTGACATTACAAATGAAGTATTCAGATTAAATAATATTTTAAGTAATTAAAATAACTAGCCTAAATAATTTTAATGTAATTAATTGCTCATTGTAGCAAAGTGAAAAAAAGAAGTAATTTTTTTCCTACAACACTATGCAGATTTGTTTTCATTTGTTACTGTTAAAAACTAGGCCTGTCTATGAAATAATTACGTTCTCACGATTTCCATTATTAGAAAAGAAACTTATATCTTAAAAATGTAAAAATTTGTTTTGGTTTTGTATTTTTCTGGTAATATCAGATGACTAACAATTTCATAAGGAAAAAACAACTGAATGTTTTTCTTAATTGATTATGCTTTTAAAAAAGATATTTAATCCTACAATGAATGTAATAGAAACTATTATAATGTTTTCACAGTAAAAACAATACATGACAAAAATGAGCAATAATTACAAATTTTATTGAATATGTAGTCCTCAACAGTAATGTCATATAGAACAACACATGAAGGTTTTTAAAAAAAATTTGTTATACGGTGTTAGATAAATAGTGTGACATTACAAATGAAGTATTCAGATTAAATAATATTTTAAGTAATTAAAATAACTAGCCTAAATAATTTTAATGTAATTAATTGCTCATTGTAGCAAAGTGAAAAAAAGAAGTAATTTTTTTCCTACAACACTATGCAGATTTGTTTTCATTTGTTACTGTTAAAAACTAGGCCTGTCTATGAAATAATTACGTTCTCACGATTTCCATTATTAGAAAAGAAACTTATATCTTAAAAATGTAAAAATTTGTTTTGGTTTTGTATTTTTCTGGTAATATCAGATGACTAACAATTTCATAAGGAAAAAACAACTGAATGTTTTTCTTAATTGATTATGCTTTTAAAAAAGATATTTAATCCTACAATGAATGTAATAGAAACTATTATAATGTTTTCACAGTAAAAACAATACATGACAAAAATGAGCAATAATTACAAATTTTATTGAATATGTAGTCCTCAACAGTAATGTCATATAGAACAACACATGAAGGTTTTTAAAAAAACAAACAAACAGCCACTGAAACACTGAGATGTAAGTTCATATAAAAACCTTTGCAAATAAGGCTGCATTGTCCATATGGTCCATTAGATTTTATAGAAATAAATACATTACACACAACACCAAAACATTTCCACAGTATCCGTGGCTCCAGTCCTCCCATCAGCTATCATCAGCATCGCTAACTTCACTGTAAACCGCACAAAAGGCACATTTGTGAGTTAAGTTGTGCTTTCTGTATAATATTTTACTTCAGAGGTCCATTATAACTTGATCTTAAGATCAGTGACACAAATGACTCTTAATACACTCTGAAATATCACAGAATGTTAGTGAAAGAAAGACAGAAAAAGGGAATTATGGGTCATGAGGAGGGGTTATGGGACATGTGTTAAAAGTGCTGTTGTTGCCCTGACATCTGCGCCTCAGCTTTCAGCCATCACCTCGCAGATCATAAGCATTTCAGCCTCTTTTATGTATGCATCTCATGCGCATGCAGTGTAAAAACATATATACAAACTGAAATTCACAAATTGTGGCTTTCATAAAGGACCTATGATCAAAAGAGATCACAGATCTTTTTCATAAATACAACATTATTTCATAGAAAAATGTAAAAAGCCCTTTGTGGATCATTATAAACGAAAAATGTGGTCTTTAGTGAATACAACTGCATTGCACCACAACTATTACAGTGAAAACTGGGGCTGTAATGGTTTATCCCTTGTGAAGTTTAGTTGAATGAATAGGGCTGTTTTGTGTGTTCCTGGGAAAGACAGCCAGCTGGCATCATAACACCGTCTGTGCAGGCCAGGCTGGCTCACGTCCAGTTGGCATAAACGGTGTATATAATGCTGTATACTGAAATGCCCCTGGTTTTATGGAGAAACTGTCAGGGTTGAAACTTTATCACATGTGCAAATGCGTAATATAAAATATCTGTGTAAATGAAAATAAAATGGCGAAGAAGAGGGTTGCTTTCTGTCTCTCTCATTCCTCTTTTCGTCCATTGAGTTACTCAGTAAACCTCTAAGAAAGAGGCACAAAAGTATTTAATCGTCTCTGTTTTTGTGTTTTTGTGTAGATGTGATGATTCTCTCATGCCTTTGTTTTTCCCTTTATCTGCTTTCTTTATACAAATGCCTCTGGTACGTCAGTGCCATTGATTTTGAGATAGATTTTAGCATCGTTTTCTTTCTCCTTCCTCTTTTTGTGCAGGGTTTTCCTGAAGAACAGCAGGTAGAGTGGTAACAGGAAGCCCAGCATGCTGACAACCAGCAGACCAACATTCACCTAAAAAAAACAAAAAACATAAAGAGCAGCTCAAAACATGCCTGACGGACATTTAATCCATTTAGTATTACTAAAGCTCTCTGTTGTGTGTGTCGTACCCAGAGTGGGTCTCCCTTCAGTGGTCCCATCATGGCCATGAACAAAGGCTGCTGCAGCAGTGCGAACACAGCGCTAACCAATGACTGCATTCCTGTCAGACTGCCGAACTGAGATGATGGGTACCTGCAGACGCGCAAACAGATTATTTGTTATCATATTATATGATTTAAATGCAGCTATTAATGGAAAAAGTGATGATCACAAGCGGAATTTAATCATGTTTTACAGATAATATTGATAAACTCACACGGCGGCGTAAAGTCCACTGATGGCGGAGTGGATGAAGCCTCTGACGATGGTGTGAAGGACAAACGAGAGCATCTGGAGAGAGATGACATAAGGTTAAATGACAAAATCATACATTATAAACTTGTCTGCTCTGTTGTTTCTTATGGTCAAATTAGCAGGTGACGTGCTAGTTTCATAATTAGGCCACTAGGGGGAGATGCTGTACAACTAAGCAGACACTCAAGGCTCCAATAGCAAGTGAGTGTTGCTTCTTTTTTCTGTGTACATACTAGTCTTACGATTTCTGCTATATGGTATACTTGCATACTACTCAATATGGAAGAAATATTAAGAGTAGTATGCTATTCCAAATTTAGCAATAGCCTTCTGCACATAAACAAAATAGCATGCTAACATACTACTCTTAATATTGCTACAATATGTACTAGGAATACTGTGTACACTATGAAAATACATGCACAGAATATCCATGAATATTACATTTGCAAGAAAAATAGTGTACAACTGTGTTATTTATTATAGTATTTATTAATGTTTTAAATTAACTGTATTTTAAGTTTGTATTTTAATTTTAGTTTTAGTAATTTTAGTAATTTTAATGTTTATTTTTTTAAGTATTATTATTATTATTATTATTATTATTATTATTATTTCAGTTTGAGTTATTTTAGTACTTCAACTTCAACTTATTTCAATTAGTTGCCAGGCAACATTTCTAATTTTCATTTTAAGTTTATTTTTTTTCATCCAAAATTTGTTTACTTGATTTCAATTATTCAAAAACTAATTTTAATAGCTTTAGTTTTAGTCATGTTTAACAATAACAACACTTGTACAAAACAGCATACTGAAAATTTGTTTAAAAATAACTGCTGTTTCAACTGAATTAAAAATACTAAAAAGTATACACTGCATACTGCATACTATTAAAAAAAACACTATGTGCTGTGCAACATTGAATGTGTCAACCTGTAATATTCATCATATTGCAGGATTAATTCCATACGTAACACACACCTGAAGAGGGAGGTTGGGAATTAGGCAGGTGATGCCAAAGCCGACAAGGAGGATGTTGGTGAAGATGAAGGCCCGTGTGGCATTGGTGACTTTCTGAATTTGTCTGTCTCTGCGTTTGGGCTGGGGCTCGTCCCTGGAGACAAAGAGCAAATACAAACACATTTAAAACAGCTGATTTTTTTAGTATTTTGAGCTTCAAAAATGATTATTTAGGTCACGTTCGCATCCATAGATCACCTAAAAGTGTTTCATAACCTACTTGTTGGGCTCTTTTTCATCCTTTTCTCCATCATCGCATTCTTTTAGCTTCCAGTCCATAATCTGACCAATGACCGGCGTTGTCATCAAGCACAAGAACAGTAATATTGTCAAATGTTCAGTAATATTGTCAAATGCTCGTCATATTGCGAGATTAATTCTGTACGC